AGTGCAGCCAAATAATCTGGATCGCCCCCTGGTGTCTGGCTGCAGTATAGCTCATTGAGCTCCTCCATGTTAGCAGATGGGACCAAACAAAAAAAATCACAAAAGGAGACGTTAAATAAATGTTGAGGGAGGGGTCAGCAGAGAGGGAGGGGTCAGCAGAGAGGGAGGGGTCAGCAGAGAGGGAGGAGTCATGTCTCTGCTGTGACTCAGACGTTTGCACTCTCTTCCAGCTGCTCTTGTGAAACCTGCTGATGGATGAGAAGAGATTTGAAAAGTAAACAGAGGTGGAGTCGTGTGTTAGATCAGAGCTTATCTCAGGAATGTCCCGGAGAAGGGAGGGACGCGTCTGAGGACAAGACGTTCTCTGTGCTCCACCCGTGTGTCCGCCGTACGCTCGTCTCTCTGCTGATGATAAAGTGATTCTGAAATCAAATCACCAACATGACCTTTAAAAGTCGATCCAGTTATTAATGATGTGACCTTTATAAACAAAGTTCAGGCCGAGGGGCCCCTGACATCTTGGGGCCCCTCGGCCTGTGTCAGGTGGTGTCAGCTGTTTGTCCTCCTCTGTCTCCTCCCTCCTTCCTAACCTGGTTAACTCATTATACCTCCACTCTTCTTCTTCTTCTTCTTTCTTCTCCTCCTTCATCAAACCCCTCCCTCCCCTCCTCTCTCAACACATGATCCCTCATCATCACATCCTTTCTCCTCCTTTTCCTCCTTTTCAATTCTTTTCTTTCACCTTCTGGTTTTTATTTTACTCTTAGCTCCTCCCCCTAGCCCCCTCCCCTTCTGTTCCCCCTCCTCCCCCGCTCCAGTGCACCGCCATGTTAACCCTTCTCTCCGTCCTCCTCCTCTCTCTCCACCGTTCTCTCTGCCAGCCCGAGGACGAGCAGGCCGCAGAGGAGGAGCCGGAGAAGGCCAAACGTTCCCGGAGGGGCGGCGTCCAGCGTCGCCCTGGAGACCGCTGGATGCTGCGTGGCCCCGTCGAGTACGTCCCGCCCACTGAAGTGGAGGTGATGGTGAGACGACACGCGATCCCGCTGGACGAGAACGAAGGAATCTATGTCCGGGACATCAAAACCGGAAAGGTCCGCTCAGAACTTTGATTCTTAACGTGTTTTTTTTCTCTTCCTGTGAATCGAGTTGAAGAAACTGAAAAGTACGTTGAGTTGATACAAGTAGAAGTTGTGGGATGTGTTGGGGTCTTAAAGACGGACTCAGAGTTGTTGGAGCTTCTTCAAAGTCTCGGTGTGTCCTTGTCCTCTCAGGTGCGAGCTGTCATCGGCCACACCTACATGTTGACCCAGGACGAGGAGCTGTGGCAGAAGCAGCTTCCCGCTAAGGTGGAGGCGCTGATGGCGTCTCCCATCGACCCGCTGGCCAACCGCTCAGACCGGACGATGATCGAAAGCAGCCAGCCCAGGGACAAGACCCGGGTCGTGTCCTACAGGGTCCCCCACAACGCCGCCGTCCAGGTGTACGACTACAGGGAGAAGAAGGCCAGGTGGGACTGGGCTCCTGATGGAGGGGGACACCAGCTGACGTGGTTTTGTCTTCAGGGTGGGGTTTGGTCGGGGGGGTTTGAGGACACCAGCTGATGGGGTTTTGTCTTCAGGGTGGTGTTCGGTCCTGAGATGGTGATGCTGGGACCTGACGAGCAGTTCACCGTGCTGTCGCTGTCCGGAGACAAACCTAAGAGACCCAACGTCATCAAGGCCGTCTGTCTCCTGCTGGGACCAGACTTCTGTACAGACATCATCACCATAGAGACGGCCGACCACGCCCGCCTGCAGCTGCAGCTGTCCTACAACTGGTGACCACACAGACACACACACACGTCACACACACGTCACACACATGTCACACACACGTCATCTGAATTCATCGTCTCTGACCAGGACTCTTTTCTTTTCAGGCACTTTGATATTAAATTTCCTGCCAACGCTGCCGATGCAGCCGCTCTGTTCTCCGTGCCGGACTTTGTGGGAGACGCCTGTAAAGCCATCGCCTCGCGGGTCAGAGGCGCCGTGGCCTCTGTGCAGTTTGATGATTTCCACAAGGTTGGTATTTCACCGTCCTCTCTCTCAGACGCCATCAGGTTCAGAAAGAAGCAGACTGACGCTCGTACTCTTTTTATTCGGCAGAACTCAAACCGGATCATCTGCTCAGCCGTGTTCGGCTTCGACGAGAAGCTGGTGGTTCGTCCGTGTCTTCGCTTCAACCAGAACAACCTGGTGATCAGCAGCGTGGACATCCAGTCCGTGGAGCCCGTCGACCAGAGGACGAGAGACGCTCTGCAGAAGAGCGTCCAGCTCGCCATCGAGATCACCACCAACTCCCAGGAGGCCACTGCACGGTCCGAAACACACTCTCTCTCTCACTCACTCACTC